CAGTCAGGTTGAGACCTGTGCCCCCAGCAGGGAGAATATACAAGCAGATACCAACCCTGGGCAGTGAAAGCTGAGAGCCACAGCTTGAGAGCCACAGTCCTGGGTCCTACACATGGGAGACAAACCTCCTTGGCTGGTTGGAGGACCTCTGGCAATAACAAGAGGGCTGTGGTAAGGCTGGACTCTGCTGGTGAGGAGTACACATTTGCTGGCTTCCCCCAAGGCAGGGAGGAAAGAGCAGCTGCCAGGTTTCCTTTGACCCACTTGGCACATGCCCCTGCTCAAGCCTAGTGGATGTTTGGCCTTGCTCACTCCACATCACAGCAAGGCATATGGAACATTCTCCAGAAGAGATCACATGCTAGGCCACAAAGCAAGTCTTACCAAATTTAAGAGGATAGAAATTATATCAAGCTTTTTTTTCTGACCACAAGGGTATGAAGTACGAAATCAATCATAGAAAGAAAAATGGGAAAAGAACAAACACGTGGAGACTAAGCAACATGCTACTAAAATACCAATCAGCCAATAAAGAAATCAAAGAGGGAATCAGAAAATACCTTAAGACAAATGAAAATGACAACACAATTTCCCAAAATCTATGGGAGACAGCAAAATCAGTTCTAAGAGGGGAGTATATAGCAATACAGACCTTCCTCAAGAAACAAGAAGAATCTCAAACAACCTAGCCTACCACCTAAAGGAATTAGAAAAAGGAGAATAAACAAAGCCCAATGTCAGCAGAAGGAAGGAAACAATACAGATCAGATAGGAAATAAAATAGATATAAAAATAGATAAGATCAATGAAACTAAGAGCTGTCTTTTTGAAACGATAAATGAAATTGATAAACCTTTAGCCAGGCTCACTAAGAAGAAAAGAGAGAGGACCTAAATAAAATAAGGAATGAAAGAGGAGAAGAAACAGCCAATAACCACAGAGATATAAAAAATCATGAGAATACTATGAACAGTTATACACAAACAAATTGGGCAATCTAGAAGAAACGGACAGATTTCTAGAAACATACAGCCTGCCGAGACTGAGTCAAGAAGAAACAGAAAATCTTAACAGATGATCACTAGTAGTGAAATTGAATTTGTAATTTAAAAATTATAGAAATCAAGAAATCTAGGACCAGATGAATTCACAAGGGAATTCTACCAAACATATAAAGAAGAGCTAATACCTATCATTCTCAAACTATTCCAAAAAATTGAAGAGGACAGACACTCCCAAATTCACTCTGTGAGGCCATATTTACCCTGATACTAAAACTAGATAGGCACTACAAAAAATGAAAATGACAGGCTCAGGTCTTTTATGAATATAGATGCAAATATCTTCAACAAAATGTTAGCAGTTAGAATCCTACAATATATAAAAGGATCATGTACCATGATCAAGTGAGATTTATTCCAGTGAACCAAGGATGGTTCAATATTGCCAAATTAATCAATGTAGTATACCACATTTACAAAGGAAGTATAAAAAAATCACATGATCTTCTCAATAGATGCAGAAAAAGCATTTGACAAAATTCAACATCCATTCATGAAAAATTCTCATCAAATTTAGTATATAGGGAACATATCTCAACATAATAAAGGCCATTTATGACAGACCCACAGCTTAACATACTCAACGGTGAAAAGCCGAAAGACTTTAAAGTCAGGAATAGAAAGGAATGCCCACTTTCACCAGTTCTATTTAACTCAGTAATAGAAATCCTAGCCACAGTGATCAGAAAAGAAATAAAAGGCATCCAGATTGGAAAGGAAGAAGTAGAACTGTCACTATTTGCAGATGACATGATACTTTATATAGAAAACTCTAAAGTCTCCACCAAAAAACATTAGAATAAATGAATTCAACAGTCACAGGATACAAGATTTATATACAGAAATCTGTATATTAATCTGTTGCTTTTCTATACACACTAATAATGAACTATCAGAAAGAGTAAAAAAAAAATCACATCAAAAAGAATAAAATACCTAGAAATAAATTTAACCAAGGAGATGAAAGACCTATGCACTGAAAACTATAAAACATTGATGAAGGAAATTGAAGCTGATACAAAGAAATGGAAAGATATCCCATGCTCTTGGATTGGTAGAATCAGTATTGTCAGAATAGCCATACTAACCAAAACAATCTGCAGATTTAATGCAATCTCTATCAAAATACCTACAATATTTTTCACAGAAGTAGAACAAATAATATTAAAGTTCATATGGAACTACAAAAGACCCCAAATTGCCAAGGCATTCTGGAGAAAAAAGAGCAAAGCTGGACTTTCCCAGACTTCACACTATACTACAAAGCTACAAAGCTACAGTAATCAGAACAGCATGGTACAGGGGACAAAAAAAGACACATAGATTGATGGAACAGGATAGAGAGCCCAGAAATAAACCCACACATCTATGGTCAGTTAATCTATGGCAAAGAAGGCAAGAATATACAACAGAGGAAAGATGGTCTCTTCAATAAATGGTGCTGAGAAACCTGGACAGCTACATGTGAAAGAATGAGATTAGAAAATTTCCTCACACTATATGCAAAAATAAACTTAAAAGGGATTAAAAACCTAAAAGTCAGACTGGAAACCATAAAACTCTCAGAAGAGAATATAGGCACTCTTTGACAAAAATTGTAGCAATATTTTTGAGGTTTCTGTTCCCTAAGGCAAAAGAATTAAAGGAAAAATAAACAAATGAGACCTAATTAAACTTAAATGCTTTTGCACAGCAAAGGAAACCATCAACAACACTAAAAGACAACCTATGGAATGAGAGAAAATATTTGCAAATGATATGACCAATAAGGAGTTAATATCCAAAATATACAAACAGTTCATACAGCTCAATATCAAAAAAACAATCTAATAAAAAAATGGGCAGAAGACCTGAATAGATATTTTTTCCAAAGAAACCATACAGATGGCAAACAGGGACATGAAATGATTATCAACATTGCTAATTATTAGAGAAAATGCAAATCAAAACCACGATGAGATATCACCTCACACCTGTCAGAATGGCTATCATCAATGAGTTTACAAACAACTAATGTTGGTGAGGATGTGGAGAAAAACGGAACCTTTGTACACAGTTGGTGGGAATGTAGATTGGTGCAGCCACTATGGAAAGCAGTATGGAGGTTACTCAAAAACTAAAAATAGAACTACCATTTGATCCAGCAACTCCACTCCTAGGTATACATAGGAAAAAACCAAAAACACTAATTCGAAAAGATGTGTGCACCCCACTGTTCATAGCAGCACTATTTACAATAGTCAAGGTATGGAAGCAACCCAAGTATCTATCAACAGATGAATGGATAAAAAAATGTGGTACATATAGGCGATGGAATATTGCTCAGCCAATAAAAAAGAATGAAATTCTGCCCTTTGCTGCAACACAGATGGACGTAGAGAATATTACGCTTAGTGAAATAAGTTAGAGAAAGACAAATACTTTATGATAGCACTTATATGTGGAATCTAAAAAATAAACAAACAAATGTAAATAGCAAACAGAAACAGACTCACAGATACAGAAAGCAAGCTAGTGGTTACCAGAGGGAAGAGCGAAGAGTGGAGGGGCAAGATAGGGGCATGGGCTTAAGAGATACAAACTATTGTGTATAAAATAGATAAGCAACAAGGATGCATTGTACAGCACGGGGAATTACAGCCATTATCTTGTAATAACTTTTAATGGAGTATAATCTCTAAAAGTACTGAATCACTATGCTGTACACCTGAAACTAATATATCATAAATCAACTGTACTTCCATAAAAAATAATAAAACAACTGTAACCTATTATTTCAGTTCCACCTGCATTATTATTTTTTTAATATATATATTTATTTATTTATTTTTGGCTGCATTGGGTCTTCGTTGCTGCATGTGGGCTTTCTCTAGTTGTGGCGACCGGGGGTTACTCTTTGTTGCGGTGTGCGGGCTTCTCATTGCGGTGGCTTCTCTTGTCGTGCAGCATGGGCGCTTCAGTAGTTGTGGCACGTGGGCTCTAGAGCACAGGTTCAGTAGTTGTGGCACATGAGCTTCGTTGCTCCGCAGCATGTGGGATCTTCCCGGACCAGGGCTTGAACCCATGTCCCCTGCATTGGCAGGTGGATTCGTAACCATTGCGCCAGCCGGGAAGCCCCCACCTGCATTATTAAAATGTATGGTAGATAAAAGAATTTTTAAAAATATGGTCACTACTGTGTAGTAGCCCAACTCAGGGGAATTTACGCACACTTAACGAGTAATGGATTTAAGCTCTCTATGACAAATGCCAAAACAAAGTTATCTGAAGAACACTATGAAAATATCTGGGAAGGAGAAGTAATTATTCCTCAGGGAATTGTGTCAGACTCCTTCTAGGTGTTAACAGCTAGTCTGGCTTTTAACAGAAGTGTAGGTAGGTTTAGACAAGTAACTGTGTGGCATTAAGAAAGACTGCAACAGGAAGTAATAACTTAAAGCAGGGCATATCCTGAGAACAAAAAGTAAATTGTTATGGGAGTCTTTATTCTACAATTCATTTTATCTTCCCCTTTTGGATATCATAATTCAGCAAACTGTGAAGCGGCCATACAACATTTTGACACAACAATTTCTGTGCTCATGGCTCACAGAAAGAGGTTATCTAGGGTTTGTATGAATCTGAAGCCCCTGGCATTTTGCCCATTTTTTCAGCAGGACTGTAAGGACCTGTGCTTTCATGGTCCATTGACATGTCACTCCTAGATGTTTTCAAATTTCTCTGGTACCGCAGTTTGGGTGCTGGATTGTTGGCCTCTAAAGAACAGCTTGAAGACATGGCTCATGTGTGTGACACAGCACATGTTCTCACAACTTATGTGGTCTTATAGAACCTGTTCTGCAAGCTTCCACATCTCCGTTTTATGAATAAATGCATTTGAAAAACATAAATCAATTTTATAACATTTGTTATTTTAAATCTGCCAAGAATAATGGAAACTTTCTCAGTTCTAGAGGAGAAACAGAGCAAAGAAGATATTCATCACACAATTTGAATGAAAGATGACTGGTAGGTTAATTTCCTTTCTCTGAGAAATTTGGTCTTTGTTGCTAGAATGTTCTATTTGGAACACGAATCACACAAATCACTGAACCATTGATTTGACTATTAAAGCTGTTTTAAAATAAATTTTCATTTTTCACATTGTTGATTCAATATTTGTTAGGAACAGTAGTAAACTATATAATTCATCACTTGCACTGTGGAGATTGTATAAAAAGAAAGAAGTACACATCAAAGGTACACATGTAATGTTTAAAAAAAACTCTACAAATTCTCTTCTATTCTGTGAAAAAAAATCAAATTAAAGGATTCCTTTCAGTCAAATCCACCTACAAGCATAGATTTTAAGTATTAATAGATATAAGGATCATGTTAAATTTGAGATAAATGCATATATTTATTGCATGTCCACCTGCATCTCTGGATCATGCTCAGTTTTTCCATAAGCAACTTTAATAAATTAACAGAATGCATTAGTGAATAGAGTAGTTCATAGACAATAATTTTAGTTCTTCTGTCCCTGAAGAAATGCTAAAGTACCAGCTTCATTAACTTAATGAGGTTACATTAAACACTTGGAGAAAACAGCCAGCACTAAAGGCAACAGTCCAAAGGAGGAAATAGCACGCTGATGTCAAATAGGTTTAATTGTGAGGGCTGGCTTAGTTCTGTTGATGGTGAGACCTAAAATACAATGCCATGAATATTTTAAAATATGAAGTTAGCTGGATTTAGGGAGAAACAAAACTCTGATTAAGCAATTGTATCAACAATACGATTGGGAGAAGGGAGTGATGGTACAGTTGCCATTTGTTTGCTGATCCTTTCCAAAACTAATCCTTCACTAAGCTCTAATTTTATCATTTAAATCAGCTTCCTAAAATCACCACCATATGCTAGATGTATTGAAGAATGCAAGAAAGTATGGTGGTAGCTTTATTCATTTTGATGTATAAATTAACCTTGAAAAGAATAGAAAGTCTGTATGCTAAATATTATTACTTGATTCCTTTTAAAACTTTATACAGGAATTATTTTCCATATTGCAGTAATACTCTAAGCCAACCTGAAGTTGAGAGAATTCTTTGAGAAAATATTCAGCTCATTATATGGGTATCTCTTGAAAAAAGTCCATTTTTATAGTGAATGCACAAAACTAGTCAACAGGAATGTTAATCACTGGGCTGTATCTCATGTGAATGTCAAAAAAGGTTCCAAACAAGATATAATGAAAATGATCAGAGTCACATCGACAGAAAAAAAAAAAAAAAAAGCACAGCCTAAAGTTGAGAGTTATGTTTTATTCAGTGGACAAAACTGAGGACTTAAGCCTGGGACACAGCATCTGAGATAACTCTGAGAGACTGCTCCGAAGAGGCAAGGGAGAGGAGCCAGGATATATAGGCGTTTTGGCAACAAGGGCAAGGTATGAAGTACATGGTTGGGCGGTGGCGGGGGGTGGGGGGGGGGGGGGGGGGGGGCGGCTACAGTGTCTGATGGTTTGAGGACAGGCATTGTTTCCATTCTGAGTTCCCTCAGGGCACACCATCAGGGCAGCTGTAGTGGCTGATGGCTGCAACATCCTTTGTTTACTGATACAGCAAGAGACATTCTTAGTTCACAGTCATAATAATCATACCTCAGAAAGTTTGGGGACTGCCCAGTTTTTTAAGATTCAGAGTCACCCTACCAGCTGTCTTCTCAGAATTAGAAGCCTACCAATCTCTATTCTGTTAATATTTATTAGCTACTTTCCTGTCTCTTCACCCTGTATGTCTTCATCTTAGGTTTATGTTCCCCCTACCAAACTAATAACTCACTCTTTCCTATGAAGGTCTTTTTGGCTTGTGATTACATATGGATTCTGTTTACTCCTGTCCACTACTACTTTTTGCTCTCTTTTTCCTCTCTTTCACTTTCTGTTCCACCAGGCAAATGACCTCTGACTATTTATTTCCAGTTCAGATTATCAACAGAAAGGAAGCCTCTAATTTCTGAGCAGCTTTTTCCAAGCTATTGATTGACACTCTTGAGTTGTAGGCCAATTATTATAATATAATCATGTTTAACCAGAAGGATGGCACCCTTACAACACTGTCATGTCAACTTACACAAAAAGAAATTCTGGCTTTCAGTGTAAAGTATATTTATTTCTCAGAATATTGAATTCTATTATGAAATGTGCATACGCCTGCAGTTTATAAAACACAGATGAAAAAATGTTCACACGTTTAGAGTATAAATAAGTAACTAGTAAGCACAAACGTTGTTAGAGGTAAGCTGATTCATAGGATGTATTCAATAAAGATAAACACTTAGCATATTACTCTTAAACACAGTAAGGAGTGGACAGTATTCCGCTGTATGAATATATCACATTTTCTTTATCCATTCATCTGTTGATGGACAGTTGGGTTGTTTCAATATCTTGGCTATTGTGAATAAAGTGACAGTGAATAATGGCAGTGTTAATCTTTCCTGGGGATCCTGATTTTAATTCCTTTGGATAAATACCCAGAAGTGGGATTACTTCTGGGTATTTGAATTTTTGAGGAAATTTTATATTTTCCACAGTGGCTACTCCATTTTACATTCCTACTAACAGTGGACAAGGGGTCCAATTTCTCCATATCCTCACAAACACTTTTTTATCCATTTGCAACAACATGGATGAACCTGACGGAAATTATACTAAGTGAAATAAGTGAGACTCAGAAGGACAAATACTCCATGACTCTACCATGATGAGGTATCTAAAACAGTCAAACTCATATAAGAAGAAGTCAAACTTGTAGAAGCAGAGAACAGATGGTAGTTGCCAGGGTCTGAGGGGAGCAGGAAATGGGGAGCTGTTGTTCAATGGGCATAAAATTTCAGTTATGCAGGATGAATATGTTCTAGAGACCTGCTGTACCACATCGTGTCTATAGTTAAAAATACTGTATTGTACATTTACATAGTTAAGAAGGTACATCTCATTTTGTGTTCTTATAACAGAAAAAGAAGTACAAGGAAACTTTTAGAGGTGATGGGTATGTCTATTACCTCAATTGTGGTGATGGTTTCACAGGTGTATGCATATGTAAAAATTCATCAAATTTCAAGCCCAACCCAACACTTGACTAGCTTAACACAAATCCTTTCTGTACACTAAAGGTGCAGAAGAAGGAAAGTTATGCTCATCTCCAAGCATAAGATAAACTTGCCTCAGAATCTGCTGTGCTTTAACATGTCTAGCTTCCAAAGAAAATTACAAGACATTGGAAAAGTCAAGAATAAATGAAGTCTGAAGATACAAAGTAATTATCAGAACCAGCCTTGGAGATGACCGAGGTGCTAGAACTCACAAGGAATTTAAAATAACTATGAATAATATGCTAAAAAAAAGCTCTAATGAAAAAGTTAGACAACATACAAGAATAGATGGATAATTTAAGCAGAGTTGGGAACCAGGAAAGAGTCAGATGGAAATACTAGAAATCAAAAACACAGCAACAGAGATGATGAAGTTTTTTATTTACTTCATTTTTCAGATCTCTGAAAATAAAACTTACTTGTTATTTAGCTCCTTACTTTACACTCCTACCAATACAAGTATTCAGATGGAATTGACCTATCAAGTGTTTTAAACTTATCTTTACTTCTGTTGGATTGCTTGAGTAAAAAAAAAAATGAATAAAAACAAGCAAATCCAATAGAAAGTTATTTTACTGGCTCAACTATGTTTAAGGGTGTGTGTGTAAGTGAATCTTTAAACTGATTTTATCAAATTTAATCAAAACAGCTGAATTAATTTATGCATAAAGCCACTAATTTTAAATAGATGGGTTTGAGTGTAAAGATGGGAAAGGGGCTTGTGTCTGAAACTAAGAACGTTAATTATTCTAGAAATTTCTGCACATCAGACAAGCATGCAAACTTTCAGGCAGTAACAATTTTCTGTTTCAGGTTAGACTAAATTTCCCAGGGAATTCCATTAAATTGGATTGTTCTGTGGGAACACAACACTGTGTGATATAAAACAGTGTTACTAAACTGCTTTTTCATCAAGCTGTATTTTTTTTAAAGTATAAATGATCAGTTTAAGCATTTCTCTTCGGCATAATACACATAAGGCAAGATCAAGAAAATCTTGAGTGGCAATCCAATCAGTGTTCTGTTGAATAGTGCTATTTCAAAAATAATAATCATACAAATTCTACCCACAGGTACTACTGTGAATAATGATATTTATTATTTGTTCAGTGCTGACAGTGGGCAGACACAGCCCCTGACCTGGGGGTTTATAATATTGAAGAGAACCTAGACAGCCAAGGAAATCTGAATAAACTATGCCAGTGAGTGCGAGGCTTTGCGGCTTACACACATCTATAAATTTCTCTTCCTTTTCTCTTAATTTCTCCCCCTTTATTCTTGTAACACATTGTATATCAAGTAAATACATTACGGAAATTTTTTGCAGATTTCTTACTGATAGTTTACATTAAGCAAATCACATCTTAATTTGTAATATATAAAGTTCTTTAACATAATTTAAGCAGAGATCACTGACAGGTCTTCACAGGGAGTTTGAGATTAAATCTGTAAATATTTGTATTTTAATAAAAATATATTAAGTCCTACAATTTTTTTCCTCATGTTTGGAGAAAGGAGGCTATTTTGGTTGGATAACAAAAAGAATAAGGAAGCAAGATCCATTAATTACACACTACTTATTCATAGATGCTTGGTGCATTGTTTTAGCTAACAGTTTTTCAGTACCATATTTGAGCCTTTACAAGTGGATTTTGTTCTAAAGCAAGGTTTACTTGAGAACTTTTTAAAAAAAGCTTTTGAAGTAATATATTATATTTGAAGTAATATACACACATAGATTTAAATAAATCTTTTATTTAAGTACATGTAGTATAGAATTACACATTGAACATTTGGAAATCATGAGTTTAATGTGATATAAATTAACTGTTTAGATCAACAGAAATATATTGTTGCCTTCATAAAGAGAACACCATTTCTCACAAAGCACTTTAAAACAAAAATCAAGATCTAGCACATATATGTATGCTTCTGAGATGGAAAACCAGTTTATAATCTATCTTGAATTTTTATAAGAGTTTATTTATCCTGTGATAATATTTGAAAGGCTTTCCAGAAACAGGAAGACATAAGTTTCTGGTTCTAATTTAAATAGTCATATGATATGTGACCTTAATGTAGTAAGAGGTATTCTGGCTAGGGTAGTTTCTTCTATGGATCAAGTGTATTTTTGTTAAATTGTAAAAATTTAAAACAAATGTCTCCCAAGCTGGAAAAAAAAACCTCAAGGGCATCATCAGTCATAGGTTTAAAACACATGCCCAAATAATTAACAGCTAAATCATAGAAGAAAAAAAAAATAAGAGCTTTTCCTGAACAATTTGTGGTATTATTTAAAGTCTTCTCTTAGAAGGCAATTGTTCTAGAATGACTGATTTTCTCTTTGCACTTTCACTCAATAAACATTAATGAATCAATTATGTAAAAGTAGAAATAAAGCAAGGCAGAGAAGCATTGAGCACTTTGAATTGTGTTTTTTTCTTTTAAACAGTCTTTAGTGGAATTTTTAAAAGTTGCAGAGAATTAAATGACACAATAGAAAACATGAAGAGTTTCTCTCTCTGTAGCTCTCCCTATTACACCTAACATAAATTCTCACTCCTTTGATGTATTTCAATATTTTGTTGTATACTCTGCCATTCCTTTCTGCATATTCATGCAACTATATACACCCAATATATATCAGAGGAAATGCATTACATTATGACTTTTAAAAAACTTTATAATATAGTGTATACCTTTTTCCATATCAGTAGAAAAGGTCAATGCTTTTTGAAAGATGAGCTGTAAATTGTTCCATCATTTGCCTAATGATGGACATGGAGACTATCTCCCAGTTTAGTGCCACTGTAAACGGTGGTGCCATAAACATCCTTATCCAATATCCTTAGGTTTCTGGGCTTCTCTCTCTCCAACATAGATTTCCTCAAGTGGGATTGCACGATCAATGGGATATGTCATTCTAAACTTTGCTGAAGATGGCCAGTTCAATTTCCAAAGAGGGCTTAGCACCCACTCTCAGAAGCAAGGTAAGACTGTTCCCACCTCACACACTTCACCTTCACTTTTATCACTCTCTATTTTTAGGGCATTAAAAAAAAATCAAAACAGGATCTTTTATAATAATCTGCATTACTCTCCCTAGTGGTGAAATTAAGCAACTTTTCATACAATTGTTTTCCATTTTATTTCCTCTTTTCTCAATGATTTATTCTATCCTTTACCCATTTTTCTTTCTGACTGCTCGTCTTCTTCTCAGTTAATTTATAGGAATTCTTTTTGCATTAGGGATATTGACCTATTGTCTATCCTGTGTGTTTTTTTTATTTTTTCTAAATTATGTTTTTAATACATTTTTTAAAAAATGAAGTCAAATGTTTTTTTCTTTATGACTTTTTAGCCTTTCTATACTGTTTCAAAAGCCTCCCCCCAACCAAAGATTATTCAGATATTCCCCTACAATGTAATGATATTTTTCTGCTGGCATATTAGGGAATCAGCAGTAGTAGAGGCCAGATAAACTTTAGTGAGGGAAGTAGATGCTGTAAGTTAAGGAATAGCTTCCATACATGCCCCCAGTGCTTTTCAGTTATTCTCTCCCTCATCAATGTTGGATATGCAGAAAGAGGCTGGCTGATGTCATCAGTGAGGGCTTTTTTGTATAATCCTGGAATAAGCCTCTCTTTCACAGAGCGGGGCCTTTGAGGAGCATTCACATGGGACAAAAATGTGTTCCACTCTGGGAAGTTCTTGAACTTCCACTTCAAGAAATTCATACACATAATTCTTATACAGGCTTTTTTCTCACTGATTCTTTAATCAGATTCCTTCCTAGTTTCTTGCAACCTTGGAAAACCATTAACCACCATTCATTAATCAGTATAAAAACTTACTTCATGCCATGCCTCTTTCCAGCTGGGTGGGCAAAAAAGATGGGCTGCTTGAAATTCAGCCCACTGTCCTTCAGGACAACTCCAGAGTTGGGGTGTAACATTGCAGTTGTCCACTTGTGGTTGATGCCAGCAAATTGCACAGAGAAACCTATGAACCAGGGCTGAATTTATTCCTCTTTAATTTTCAGCTGATCTTAGAGACCTTCCCATGGAACAATAGATAAGGTTTGTGGGAGAGACTTCAGTAAGATAAGCGTGTTCATATGTTGAGAGAACAGTATGAGAAATGTGGCCGTCAGGACCTGCCCAGACTTAATCCTGTATATGAAAGTTCTGTTTGGTGAGAGAGTGTTTCTGGACAAGTTTAGCTAGATTCCTCCCTCCGGCCCTTCCTTCCTTCCTTCCGTCCTTCCTTTTTCCTTTCCTCCATCTAACAGAAAATATTTACTAAGCAATTATCATATACCAGGTATCATTCCGGAATCTGGGAAATAATGGTGAGCAAGACAGGTCCGTCCCTTCCTTCATTAACCTTCATGTATTAATACCCTAGTAGAACACAGTAGTACTTGATTCATGATGAGTGGCTCAGTTTACTTGGTCATCTGCTATTCCACAGTCAGGTATTATGTCTCAATCATGGCCTAGTAGAAAGCCAAAAGCTTTTTTAAAGAATGGAGCAGTTATTTACAGAAGAGGACGTGGCGAGGTTTCAGCATTTTTAGGGCCTCTGTTTTGATTTTCTAATCGTGTCTCGCCGCTGCTCCAAACAGGGATGAGATTATACACACACATTCCTAACGCCCCTCTTAATTTCCTGGGTCTATAGGGTACATAGGCAGAGCTATTTGCACCCCCAACAAGACCAATAGGAGAAAATTTGGTTGCTCTGAACCATGCTCATAGTGTGCCATTCTTTGGATCAACTAGAAAATAGGTTGGAAAGGCTAACTCAAATAAGTATATATTTTCTCCAAAATCCAAAGAACCCACAAAATGTTTTTCTTACTGGTGGAGGTACAAGGTACGGCAAAATATTTCTTTACTTTGAAAGGGAGATCCTGACTTGGCCCAAATCACTAGACTCCCAGAAACTTCACTGAAGTGGTAGGCCCTTAATCTCTCAATGTTCAATATATGTGCTTTCCATCAAGAATGGCTACATCATGCTCTCTGTCTACTATCAGCATTGTTATTAATCTAATGAAGAAGCATTATGTCCCTTGGGGGAGTATAAACTTTAATGTCCCTGTGGACTAAGTTACAGAAAGCATTAGAGAGTAGTCATATTCTAGGAGAAATTTGTACTCTGATCTCTTTCAGGTAAAACAAATATCTTCCATTGCTTTATATTATAGAGATAAAGGCAATGATATTACCAAATCACTAACTGCCTATTAACTGTTGGAGGCTATATGTAGTTGTCCAAATAAAAAGGCCATATCTAGAAGAGCAGCTAAAATTGATTAAATATACAGCGATCATTTATTATTCACCAGGGCCTGTCATCTGCACAGGTGAGTTAAATAGGAATAGGGAAAAAAAAAATCAGCTCCTTTGCATTTTCTAAGTCTTTGATAGAGGCACCAATTTCCACAGTTTCATAGTAATTCAGGGTTACTTTGATTTATAATTTTGGTTTGACGGGGGAGTTCTAGTGGTTTCCATTTGGTGTATTTTCCCTTTAGTCCCTTACCCTATGTGTTGGAAAGCCCATGTGAGAGGTCTGCCAGTTCATAGTATTTTTATTCTTAGGACATATTCAGCAAGTGGAGAAGAAGCACAACATTGTGACAGAGATTGCTAGATTCTCCCTAAAATCTACTTCCTCTTTTCCCTCTGTAAAATGTTAGGCTATATTTCCTACCCTCCCTGTATATAGGGATGATCCCATAGTCAGAGTTTGCCAAAAGACTGTGAACAGGTGAGATGTATACCATTCTAAGGTTTTTTAGAAACACGTCTGCCTCTTCATGTGCCTTCCCCTTCCATAGAGTGGGTGCAGCTAACAAGGTTACGGGACATGGAAGAGCCCTGAGAAGGAGGGAACCTGGGCCCTAAAGGATAAGGAGCACCTGCCTGGACTGTCACCTAAGTGAGAAATATATTTCTATTGTGGTTCAGCTATTATATATTTGGGAATATATATTTGTTACCATAGTCTTATGAATCGTGTGGATTCAGGATTTCATTGGGCCTATCATAAGCTGACTCAGATCAAAATTCATTTATGAAGTTTACATAATTCAGTTATGTAAACTGCAATGCATGTTGGGTCCTCAGGGATTCGTGTTTTCTCAGAGCTTATGTCCAACCATAAAACTCAAAAGATCTGGGCATAGTCTATTTCCCCAAGCAAAATAATCTTAGTAAAGTGTTACAGGTTCTTTTCTGGCAGGCAAGAAGGAAGATTGGCTTAAACATGATGTTATCATCAGGTCTTCTCAGGGGCGTCCAGGCTTTCCTTCATTCAAGGGACTGAAGGCAATGTACTGAGTCAGGTCCAGGAATTTGTTAAGGAGACCATGATCCTCTATTTTAATGGATCGTCAGGCATAGAGGATATTTTTATTTGTTTGCTTGTTCTATTTTTTTATATACTTTTAAATATAGGTCAAATAGGATTTGGTAAGCACCTATCCATTTAACTCCTAATAATCCTATGATATATTAGCAACCAGTAAAATCTCTGTGGGTCAGGCTATTTAGATTACATTGCCAGTAACCAGAGTGTTACCCCTGAGGTTAAGTACCACTATGTCACCCAGGGTCCTAATCCCCCATTAGAGACAGGGAGACCATTTCAACTGCATCCCATAACAGCATTCACAGCTTCAAAGTACAGCCACTAATGTATTTTTAAAGATGACCGTAGGCCTCTCATTAATTTATTTTTCAAGGCCTTGGAGAAAGGAACTGTTTCTAGGCCTTCTAGGAGTCATACATTTCACTTGATCAATTCCCTCCAGGATTCCATTCTCCTGACTTTGGAAATCTTCTTCCCAATAAACCAAGGAAGTTCTGGAAGTAACAGAAGGTAGGGATTTTCTTAGTCCACGCATAAAAATCCCAGGAATTTCAGTACACGGCTTAAACTGAGAATTTTGGAATTTGGGCCTCTCATTGGCCTTATGTAGGACCATCAGAAGCAGGTACCCCACCCTGTAAGGAAAATTCTGCTCTCAGTACACATTTCATTTCACTAGACCAGAGAAAATATTTTAAAGAGAAATTTTGTCACTGTATGTCAGGGACTGACAGATTCCTTCTGATGAATACCAACAGAATGTTCATTGCCTGCAACGTCAAGTACGCACAACTCCCTAGGTTTTTCTGAGTCCCTTTTGACTGCAACCTGCTTCCTGACAACAGTTTGTTTAAGCCATAAGTCTTGCTTATAGCAACAGAATTGGATTCTGGTTAGTTTTAATAGAAAATAATTTAATAAAATTATGTCATTGTGTGACTTAAAGAATTGATGGGAAACCTGGAAAACCAAGCTCTGAAAGCAGGCTGAAACCCCGGGAAGCCGGGCAGCTGTCGTTCCAGCCAAGCCCCAACCACTGGAATAGCTGGTTAGGATGCTTGTGCAGCTGGCTTAGGACACTGAACGAACTACTGGCCACTACTGTTGAAAGGAATTCTAAATTGCTCTTCTTTCCTTTGTGCTACTGGTTCCAGATCTGCAAGCTATGAACATTCAATTAGCTAAGCCTAGGTCGTGAGTCTGTACCCTGGTGGATAAGGGGAATGATAATCTGGACTTTTGGGCTACGTTGGTGGGAGTCAATGCCCCTCTGCCCCAGCATGTTTCTCAACTGGGAGATTCTCATAACATACAAAGGGAGGTCAAATGATGAGCAGTTAAAACCTCAACAGAGCAAAGGTCTGTAACACCCCACTAATATGAAATTCTACTTCCATTCCATGCTAGTGGTTAATTTACCATCAGTAGTCAACGTATAAAGGGAGTATTTTTCAAACTTTTTTTTTTTTGCCAGTGGTGTACTTTTTGTCTCAAAATTATTCTGAAAACATTTTTTAGTACTTCTATCTCTCTTTGTCTCTCTCTGTCTTGCTGTCTCTCTCTCTCACACACACACACATACACATATTTTGAGTACTTATAATAATCATAGAACTATAGACAAAAAAGGCATATCTTTATCTCATCTGAGTCC